ACCCATGCACAGGAAATGAATATACATTTATTTTTCTTTGCTGGAATTTTTGACAAGTCCCCCTGAAGAGTGTGTTTATACTTTTATTAGTCTATTGATCATCCTATAAGAACAGGAACAGAGAGCACAATGTCTCCATTCTTGATATAGGAAAAAACACTCAGCTGTTTATGGTATTCTTTTCAAACTCTTCATGCTGACCACAGCGATGTGCTTGTTTGCACTCTTCTTCCTTTCTGTAAATATTATTCAGTGTCTTGCTATGACATCAGATGTTCTGGTTTACTGCATTGTGTTGCTAGTCTTTGTACTTTGTAAAACTTTGTTAATATGGTCCTTTCAGTAACTTTACAAGAGGGCATAAAGAAATTCATCACATGTCCCAATATACAGGAACAGTATTATTGTAAAATGCTTATAATATCAAAATAATAATAATTTCAGAAATATCATTAACAAACTCCTTTTATCAGACAAAGCCGTTCTTGAGCTCCAGTCAAGTGACATTACTTAAATGATTCTTTTTTCTTAATGTGAAACCATTGTGTTCGAAAAAGACAAGAAGAGGGAATGTTCCTCAAACCTGTACAGCACCCAGTCACCCCTGCTTCTGAAGAATATTCCATCACCTTATATTTTTCTAACACAATGCTCTCACATTTAGATGTGTAAAAGAATTATACACGTCGCCCCTGCTCATTGAAAATGCAGATTCACAGCTTGGCTAAACAGGATCATCCAGATGTTATCTAAATGTTGAGTCCCTCAACAGCCGTTCTTTTAAGCCATGATGAAGAGGGCGTAGTGAGGCCCCCCAAAATGCATTGGATGTTAAGTTTCCTCACATGCTTGGAATAAAACCTCCTGTATGGACTTCTACATTCCATTGTGGCAGTCCAATCTTTTGAGTCAACAAATATACTCAATTCCTGAGGCTTCTGTAGAAGTATCTCGGTGTATGAAAGCAGCCCACACAACCCCCATATGCTCGATCAAGATAATAGTAATACAGTTTTTTGATAATATCAATCATAAATACCAAACAGCATCCACCTAGGATACCAGCGCCATCAAATTGACTGTCCCAAGTAGTCACGTGTGTGACCAGAACCAAGGACTACACAACCATGAGAATTTTCAAGGTTCTTCCATATCTGATCCAGCATCTAAGTGCAGAAAGTAGATGCTGACCCTAAGTAATGCCTGAATGAAAAAGCCTCCATTCTTTGGTAGAGTGAAAGTGAAGAAGTTTTGTCAGGAGAAGTACTGATTCTTGTGAGTGGAAAAAAATACCTGTGTAGCTCTATTGTAAACCAGGCAGACACATTTGACATTGATATGACTTTTAAGCTATCGCATAGCTATTATGAATATGTAAGACCCATGTATATGATGATCAGGGTCCTAGACACTTTCCACAGTAAAGTTCTTGTCCTCAGGTTGGTTAGAATGATGAGTGCCAGTCACTTGGTCTTGAAGGTTTCTTGCACATATGTATGAACAGAAAGGAAGGAGGATAAGGGGAACACAGGATACCTGCATGTTTCATCTCGAAACAGTCTCTTGCTTGTCTCTCTGACTTTACCACACTTACTGGCCTATATTGGCTGGACACTGGATCTTAAGGATGGCTCAGTTACCCCTGATGTTCTAGTGGTATCTCAGACTTGAAGTTCAAGGAAGGGCGGCATTTACAAGGTTCTTGTATTTCTTCTCTACTCAGAAGTCTCTCTCTCCACCTTCATGTGAGGGACTTCTGCAGACAGCTCCCTCTAGGCCTATAGGAAACCACAGCAGCATTTTCCAGGACAGGAGATACCTGCACCTCTTCACACCCTTAGGCCCCAAGGCCTAAGAGCAAAACTGGTGCCACAGCAATGTCCTCTCAGGGTGAAAGCCAAGAGGGAAAGACCATGTGTCAGGAAGTAAATACACACATACTGTATGTATACCTTTTTTTGCAAAGCTTTATTAATTTCTCTATTCCCATACAGATTGTTTTTGGGGAATGATTTGACACCCCACCCAGTATGTCTTTAGCTGTACAATGTGATTACACACACACTTTAGTGGTTGATGTTATTTTGTATGATTTGTAAGTTGCGCTGTATTTTGTTGCAATAGATTTGCCAGCAAAACTTCAATTGTCATTTGTATGCTTGTGACATATTTGTACTTGTATTTTAGATTAACCACTGGCCCCCGATGAAGATTTCTGAAGACATGAAACGTGTTTTGTCTTATTTCATACCATACTATTGTGGCACCATAACTGCCAATAGGTTACTGAGCATGGCGTTTCCTTTATACTGAAGCTTTCATCAATTGTTTGTGTTTTTATGTGATACATATCATGGTTTTATTAGGTATTTAATAAACCTTGTTAATATTTTTATTATAAGTGTGTTATGTGCCCAAAAACTCCCAGCCAATAGCTATATTGTTTTTGTTCCATATGTAAGGGATGAGGCACTGTTATCAACCAAAATAAAATATTGTTTCTTTTTTTTCATGTTCCAGCACATGAAAAAAAAATTGTTGATTTGCAGATCTTAACCCCTTCCCAGTCAGTGTATATTATTAGCATTGATCACTGTATTAGTGTCACTGGAGATGTCAGTGTCATTTAACCTCCTTGGCGGTATTCCCGAGTGTAGCTCGGGGTAACATTTCAGTACCAAAAGCGGTAACCCCGAGCTACACTCGGGAATACCATGCGGCGCTGCTCCGGCATGTGTTCTTCACTTACCTTACCCTGCGCTCACACGATGTGTCCCCCTGCAGCGTCCCCGGCCATCTCCTCCGGCCGATGCCGGCATCCGGCTTCTGTGTCCTGTCCCTGTGACGTCGGGACGTACGGGCGCCGCCGCAGGCGGCGGCGGGAAATTTAAAAATTTTAAAAAAATGTCATTTTTTTTTTTTTTCATTTTACACAGTAAAACATTGCTGTTTCAACCTATTTCACATACATATTGTCCCTAGTGCTTTGTCCTGTGCCCTGCCTGCATTTTGTCTGTTCTTTCTGCCTGGAAACTGAGAAATGTCCATGGCGTCCAAAAAGTGTCCCTTTAGGTCAAAAGCGGTTTAGATCAGCTAGAGAACAGCGATAGTAAATCAGAACCACTTACAGAATTGAGTGATAATGATTCGTGGGGGAAATTCGTCATCAGAAACTGAAAACGATTTTGCGACTGAGCTCAGCAATGTGCGAACTTGGCGCTCTATTTCACATTTCAGTGTTTTTGGTTTGATTATATTATTGAATTAAATTTTTTATTATTTTTATATTATTTTTTATGATTATTTATTAAATTATAATTTATGATTTTGTGTTTCAAATTTTTATCCTACCCGGGATGTTTACTAGACTCTTGTTCGGACAGATTTCAGTGAGTTTTTCCTAAAAATTACAGCCTACAATAAAAAAATACATATTTCCATGCAAAAAAATGGTACCGCTTTCAGCACCAAAAATCTGAAATAATCATACCGCCAGGGAGGTTAATCAGTTCCCAGAACAGTGTCAGATTGCCCACTGTATTATATCAGAGTCCCACTATAAGTCGCTGATTGCCACCATTACTATTATAAAAATTTAATGAAATTTACCAAGAATACATAGCAGAATACATTTTGGCCTAAATACCACCAAATTAAAGCTCTATTTATGTGAAAAAAATTATATAAATTTCACTTGGGTACAGTGTTGCATGACCACACAATTGTCAGTTAAATTAGCGCAGTGCTGAATAGCAAAAAAATACCCTGGTCAGGAAGGGGGTAAAACCTTCTGGAGGGCAAGTGGTTAACACAGAATGTTAACTCTAGCCACACCCTGCTGGAGAATGCTGAACATAGCATGTGACTGAGATTACTCACTACGTGCATAGATAACACTAGCCAGCCTAACTAAAGCTCACTAGCAGGTCACAAAATACAAAAAGAGAATTTATGAAACTACTACATCCCTACACCTGCACATGTTACACTTATCGCCTAGCTTAAAAATAATTTGGTATTTGGTCCACTTTAATGCAGAACATCTGTTTTGGCATCCTTTCATCCCCTTATACCCCAAAGCTCCTTTATCCCATTCATTTAAAAATAAATTGTATGCAAACCTCAGATCCAAGATGTGATATCAATGGTTCTTCTTCTTCAGCATTGGCAATGGATGGTCCTTAGTGCTGCTAAGAATGGCACTTATTTAGTGGTCAGGGACAGTGGACAGTTTTAAATTATGAATAATAGCTTAACATTTATTTTTAGTGTGAGCAAAGGGGTGCAGTTAATGTGAGTGGTATAATGAGAGGTTAAAGTGCACACTATTCTTGCACTTCCATTTTTACTTCCTTCAAATGATGCAGCACTGTGCTGTGAATAAAAGGCAGCTCCAAGACCAGATGACCAGCAACAAGACCAGATGACCAGCAACAAGACCAGATGGCCAGCAACAAGTGAATGCTACAGTTTGAGCACCCCAAATTTAAAAAAAGGCCCAAAAACCCCAAGCAAAATGAAAATCCCCAAATACCACTCACCTGAATCAAAAGACAAATTATTTATTTTATAGAAAAGCCTTGCAGAAAAAAGCAATTTGCTATTGAAAGGACAGCGACAAAAATGACCACTGCCCTCAAATCAACCACAATTACAATTTAAGAAAAAAAAGCCCCTAATAATAAGAACAACAAAAACACAGCAAATGTACTGATTACTCAAATAGCTAGCAATCGTGATTAACACCCCGGCCACATCAAGCCCGACACTGAAATCGTGCGACTTACAGTTGGAACCTCACCCATTTGACCACTTTAATTGCGGACAATAGGATGTGACTTGGCATATGATTTGAAAGTCGCATGGCATGCAAATCGCATGCCAATTTGCACCCGATGTGACCGGGGTGTAAAGCACAGTTCCTAAATGATAGTTCAATACACTGACACTATGGGGAGATTTACTAAAACTGGTGCACTTAGAATCTGGTGCAGCTGTGCATAGTAACCAATCAGCTCCTAACTTCAGCTTGTTCAATTAAGCTTTGTCAATAAAACCTGGAAGCTGATTGGTTTCTATGCAGAGCTGCACCAGATTTTTACACTCTCCAGTGTTAGTAAATAAACACCCTATGGCTGCTCGGTGCCCATCCCCCTTTTATAGTGAGGGGGTTGGCTTATATAAAAGTCCTCCTACTGGCCGTTCTAGACCTCTAGGCCATGGTTCAAAGGTCAAACAGTATGTTATGGTTGAAAATAAATTGCCCAACAGCAAATTTCAAACCCATAGAACTTGCTGCGAACCAGTACAAGCACCAAATCTAAACCTCATCCCTAATGACTAGCAAACTGGGATCAGTAAAAGAACTCGGCTGTCATAGCAGTTTGGCTTTCGCTGAATGCAGGTTTGAAAAGGAAACATACAGTAGGAAGGCCAGAACTGTAACTCAAGCTATCAGGGATTTCTCCTGCTCCCTCACCTCTTTCTCTAGTGATAGGGCACCTGAATTTCCGCAGGGATAGCAAACAGCTTCAATGACTTCTACAGGCCAGCAAAGGTAGAATTCAGCACTTTATTTTAAATCAAGATTGGCTCTAAGCAGATTGAAATGATGCTTCAGCCCCCGCTGGACCCCCTGAGTCACATTTGAAATAAGGCACTTACTCGGGTCTTTACTACCTGTCAAGCAATATGAATGGCCACTCTCCCTTTTTGAGTCTGTGTGTTGCAATATGTCGGTTATCTTTCGCCCACTCTCGGTGGGGTACAAACTGCCTATTGCTCCTCCAGATGAATTTGCTCCTCCATATATCCGTAAACGGGGATCTGAATTACATGCTAAACTTACCAAATCCTAGATAAGGAGAGCTATTTCACTTTAACACCAGTCGTCTCTAACAGATTTCAGGAACAATGTTATGAGCTTCTCATGTGATCATACTGGGTCCCTGTTGCCCTACATTAACACTTTCCATAAGCCTCTAACATCAATTTCCTATCTGATATTTTTGGGATTGTCCTGTAGATGTCAAGGCTGAATTTCCTTTTTCTCTGCTAAGAATACATTTTTTAGTTTTTTTCTGCCTTTTTTGTTATTTTTAAAAACAGTTTGAACATTTTATGCCCTTATAGTTTATCCTTCTTAAGTGATATGCAGGCCTTGTCCATTATGGTCAGTTTGGTCCCAGCCAAGATGGAGCCCTTTGTAATTTTAAATATGCTTGCAGGTTAAGAGTATATTATTCTACCAGTTGTATTCCAAATATCTGTATTTTTCTCTATTTTTTTTTATATATGGACAAGCTTGTCTGATTTAAATAAATAATTAAAAAAAAAACTGTAACACCCTTATGTTTTTTTTTTTTTTTTAGATATTTATGTTATTTTACAAAGCTAAATGGCCATTGTAGACTTCTTTACTTTCTTGCAAGCCCCATTTTATGTTGTTACAGATGTAGCAAGTCTAAGAATATCCAGTGGTAAAAAAACAGTAGTGCAGTGGATACCAAAACCAAAATTCCAGAATTGATCAAATGTAAACCAATTTGGAGTGGATGGCTGGACCTTTTGCAAATAATGGTATATATAGTTGGTGTGGTCTTTGCCAATCCTTTCATTTGCAGACTTCTAGCCAAAAGTTTTATTACTAATTGATAATGAGAAAAACTGGCTTTCAAATTCCTGACTCTGCATGAGCAGAGTAAAATATGCCAATATTCTTTATTTTTACAGACAACCATCTGACATCAGACATAAAAAAGGAATCACCATGATGGAACTTAGAATAGCTGACATATAATTTATACGATTTGCTTGTTCCTGACTTAACATAAAGCATTTCAAATTCCATTGCTGAAATAATTCTCTTTGATATAACTGTGCACTGTTGTTACTGTTAAGGATCCCTCACCTACTGTAATTATTTTCATTGCTGGAATGGCAAAATGTTCACAATTACATTTCAGAGAGGCTGTGACACTACTCAGCATTGTATGTTGTTAGTGTTTGAAGTGAATGGTTTGAGAATAATGTAGAGCACACACACACACACATACAGAATGTATTGATAGTTTTTTTATGGTGTGGGTTTAATGACACTTTAACAGTTGCACAAATATCATGCAATTATTTTTTTCTATAGGGTCTTTGCTTTCAGAAAATATATCAGTGTTTGGGGGTTTAAAGTAATTTTTGGCAAAAAATGAAGATTTCAACATGCACGTGAAAAAGTTTTTTTTAAAAATGTCCCGGTAGAAAAGTGGTTAAGCAACAAAAGAAATGTTCCTATTATGTTTGTACTGAAAGCCTTTTCTCCCATTTTGCTGAAGCTGTAGTTAACAAAAAGTCCACATCTGGATGAGTCAGGTCTTTTATCTGTACTTTCCAGTACTTGCAGCCATGAAACCGTATTGTTTTTCTTCTCCATTGTTCTACAAAGCACAGAGTTGGAAGCAGGGCCTGTGTTTAAGTTTAGACTCTTTTCACTGATAGGGGCATCATCTATAAATGTGGAACCTTTTTAGAGGCAAAGTTTTTGTGCTGTTTCTGTTTCTTATTTGGTTATCATAACCTTCATGTAAAAAAAGCAACACAAGGCTTTTCTATGTATTTAACTGCAACATACTTATACTGCTGTTTAGAACAAATAGCAATCTTGCAGTTTTATTCAAACATGAATGAAACTGAATTTGCCATTAAAAAGAAAAGTTCAGCAATAGTTGGAACAAAAAATATTCCCTTTAGGGATCTGAAAGTAAAGATATGCACACAGTTCACACATAGCCAGGGTAGGAATGCATTTTAAACAAATGGGATGCATAGTTCAGTTTTGAAAGGCTTAATGGGGATTTGACAGACTAAATACATAATTTAAAACAGACCTTGTATTTTAAGCATACTAGGCTAATGCAGGCCATAGATGGAGAGAAAAAACGGCCGATTTTTCGTCCGAAAATAAAACCGGTCGATTATCTTATCGTTAGTGGACGATTTTGTCGGCCGTTTTTCGTGTATTTTGGACTTTCAGATTATCGGTGATGTTGGAAAATTTTCGAAAAACGCCCGACTTTATCCTCATTGATGGTCAAAAACGAACAATCGTTTTCCGAAAAAGGATCACAAAGGCCACAAAATGACATCATTTCCCGTTATAGGTTACTCATTAATCCCGATTTTCGTAATAATTGGTGGTCAGGTAAGTTTTTTAGACCGACCGATAGTTCGTTAATCGGCCGAAAATCTGCCATTTTTCTCCCCATCTATGGCCTGCATTAGTAACTGGTCCACTGCCCAGCAGGCACTGTATGATTTATGTAAACCCAGACATTGATTTTCTCCTATTTGTTCCCTTTTGGGGAAAAGCACTGAAAGCATTTGTTCAACTCTAATAAATATTGGTCCTTCCAGAAATCTTGTATGCTGTTAGCTTCTGTGCCTCTGTTAACTTTTATTAGTTAGCATTGCTCCTAACTATCTCTTTGGACTGCTGAACACCTCCTCCTTATGAGATAGAGGAGAAGGGAAGGAGTTCAGTAGTACTTACCTAGGATGACAAAGCTCCATAGATATAGTATAGTGAGCAGGGGTGGGCTGACAACTCATGGGGCCCCCGGGCAGTAGGGGATCATGGGGCCCCTATGTTCTTGCCCAAACTCAAAAAAGCCTATGAAAATGGTACCAGGGGCATCTCATGGGGCCCCCTACTGACCCCGGGCCCTCGGGCAGTGCCCGAGTTTCCAAATGGTCAGTCCGCCCCTGATAGTGAGTAAGACACGTCACCCTAGGGCAGAAGGTGTGTTACTGGACAGATCACCAGGTAAAAACAAAGGAAAAAAATGCCTGGAATAAAAAACTAATGGAGCCATGCAATGCAAGGACTGGTATGTTTAGATACACTTTGGCCTCCCTGCATTCCTCTGTTGCCCCAACCGTCATCCAGGTCTCACCAAGCTATTCTAAGCCCTCATGTGATTGTGTTGGGTTTTGCTCTTGCCAACTTAGGTCCTGAGGGGGTGTCAGTGGTATCCCCATACATACTAGGTATTCTTCTGGGCTTAAGGAACAGGAGAGCATGGGCAAGGTATGTGCAGGTACCTTATGGTACGATAACTGGTACTTTGATTAGTACGAACAAAAAGCAGGTTTACTGTCAATTGTGAAAAACATTTTTGACTGGATTTTCTAGACTGTATCGTACTGAAGTGCTCTCAGGGAAAGGTATATTCAAAATGAGCGAGCTGCATTCTAGAGCATTCCTCATATTATTGGCTGCTCGTTTCATAGGCTTTAGTGTCTTTTATCCTGCCACTGTCTCTGTCATAAAGTGTACATTCAGGTTTTTTTTAAAAAAACAAACAGTACAAACAAACAGCAACTGCCCCAACCTGTAACTTGCCTTTGCAGCAAGGAGCACATGGAAGGGTGTCGCATGTCAAACAACAAAGAAAAATTCCCAGCTCAACTTACCAACCAGCCTGCAACCATCCAAACTGTCTAACAGTTCATGTGCAAAACATGGGTTTAGTTTGCACACATTTGAAAATACATGCATAAGCTGCAGAGCTCCTTCATGGCACCCCATTATTCTGCAGTTCCTAAATCTATAAATTTTGAGAGCCTCCATAGTAGAAGCACATGTATAATAATGGATAGATTGAGAGTACGTAAGCCTGGAGGGAGCCCACCCCTCCTTAAAGGAGGGACACCCACAATGCATACTGGCATCCAAGGTGTCCAGTGCGTCCCCTCACCAATATACCAACAGTACAAACAAATGGTAACTGTCCCAATCTATAACTGGCCTTTGCAGGAAGAAGCACATGAAAGGGCGACACATGTTAAACAACAACAAAGAAAAGTTCCCAGCTCACTTACCAACCAGCCTGCAACCAACCACATTTTTCTAACAGTTCATGTTAAAGCAAAAAGCACACTAGGCTATCCCCATATGGATATAGTAGCTTAGTACGCTAAATGCACCTATTGGCTGGGGCTTCCTCTCTGTTTAAACAATGATGCTCACAATCATATTTAGAAACTTCTTCAAATCCTTTGCAGCCAGCAATGGCTCCATCCTGAGTTATTTTAGGAACTGAGCAGCCGTTGAAACCAGTGCTCCCCTAGTCCCACTGGAGGGAGCACCA